ACATACATACATCTATGTGCGTGTCTTTTTATATATATATATATATATATATATATATATATATATACTGTATAATTGAAAGTTTATAAATGTAATCTTTGGACAGATGAGCAGAACATATCTTGACTGCTGAGCACAGAACACACTGTTTGGTGTCTGTGTGTATTTGTGCACACATCCAGGTTCTACGACATTCTGCAGCTGCTCAAAATTATGCCAGAGCATCATACCACACCTCATTAAATCAAGACGGAGGGAAACAGAAAGAAAGAGGTAGAACATGCTTGGTTGGGTGTGTGTGTGGGTGTGGGTGTGTGTGTGTGTGTGTGTGTAAATCACCAAGCCCTTTCATTAGGCACAGCTTGAGTCAAGAGAAGTACATTTCAATAAGAAAAGAATAAATTTCATTGAACCAGTGATCAGAGACCATATAATACAATGAGCAATACATTCAAAACAAACCACTTAATAAGGTCTAAGAACAGCAACAAGCTAACATATGAATAAAGCATGTGCTGCTGACAATAGGTAAATACAATAAATTGATTTGTGCCACATGTGCTGGACAGCTAAAATCAACAATGAATGGTTAAACAGCCAATAGTTTGACTGCACAATGGATGCCAGGTTGTTATGATGATTATTGGCCAATAAGGGTCAGGTATATTTCTTAAACCTCACATAAGAGCTCTTTAATACACTAAATTAACTGCATTGTATCTCAAAGCAACTGTGTTTATTATTTATTGCAGTTCTAAATAATGGTTTTGAATTTAAACTGCCCAGTTTGCAATTAAATGGCCATTTTGACTGTGGGTGTACAGCAACAACAAAACACAACAGGGTTTCCACATTAAATGCAGCAGTTTCCTGTGAATTTCATGTAGGCCTATAGGAATTTCCAACTACCCAAAACCAGTGTTGGAGAAGCTACTTTGAAATTGTAGATTGCTGAGTTAGGCTAATTCAAGGCATTAATTTGAAAAACAAATGTGTTTTTAATTTCATAATTTGATCATATTTAAGTCAATAAAACCAGTGAGGGTTTTAAATGAATGAACAATCTAAGAGGGTGACAGTGGCCTATCTAATCTGAACAGTTACATTTAATGTTAAATAAAGCAAAACATGCATATTTACATAATCAAGTTTTAAGCACAGTACAGGGGCATTTGAATAAATGAATCGTTTAATATGTTAATTTACATGAACTGTTCGAACGAACCGATTTACTAAAATTAATCGGTCTTTCCAACGCTATATACAGTACTGAATGAGAGAGAACCATTCGGGACGAATCGATTCGCTAGAATGAATCGGACTTTAGTTTCCAGCGCTACATACAAATGAGAAAAAGAGCGAAAGAGGACCGTTTAAGTAAGTATTTTATTACTCACACAGTTCATGCAATGAAACAGCGATGTAGCGTTGGTCGAGCTATACTACTACGCGTTGTAAAATAAAAAGTTACTGGAAAAGCTGCACTAGTTTAAAAACAGCTGAACTGTCATGCTAATGAAAAACGCTTTCTAGCACTTGACGCATGCGCAAAACGCTAGACGGCGCTGGGAAATAATCGAGCTGGTACTGCTGATTTCAGGATTTATAGTAAAAAAAAGAAAAGTACTTTTACACCCAAAACCGATTAGATTGCTTCAAAAGTTATTCTTTACAGTTATTTCAGTACTATAAGATGTCTGAGTGTTCAAGCAATAATTGAATCTGCATTTGACAGTCTGTTAAGGCTCTTTATCTTACAGAGGACTGAGAGTAGTGTCCCAAATGATGCACTATACACTTATATACTATGTACTTATGTAGCCTACTATGTACTCAACTAGGCTATGTAGTGTATGACTTATATAAGGTTATTGTCATTCATAATCGGAGTATGATAGCCCCTCCCCCTTCGCTACGTAATGAAAGCTACGACAGTTGAGTGCATGAAGTGTCCAACATTCCACACTTCGTTTTTTTTTTGGTTATTTAAGTGCATTATCTGGGTATTTAAAGTGTACTTTTTCTTTTTGGAATTTTCAGTGAGAACAAATTACTCGCACTATTTACAGTATACTAACAAAATGTCATAGAATAATGCATAAGTACACGATTTGGGACGAACCTAGTGTTTCAATGCAACATGGCAGCCGTGCAACAGAGGGAATTTACAGCAGTCTTGCAACCATGATCTTTTATTCCCTTTGAACCATGTACAACCTCAACCTGAACCTGGAGGCCACGAGAGGTGTGTGCGATGTGTTTGGCAAGTGCCAATGTTCAGAAGTCCTTTGACTCATTGACAAAGTGGCAGGAGGGTTGTTGTGGCTGATGCACAGAGGCGACATGATGGAGGAAGCATTCAGAGTTCTGTCTGGGACTGCAGTGGCTTGTTCAGACAATCCACAATCAAACCTTACAAACTGGATAGAGTACACAAATAGCCTATTCTCTTTGATAAGACAACAAACAGCACCTGAGTATCTCTTACAAACCAGCCAAATGAATGAATTGGACTCTGAATTCGGGCTGCAGGGGGCACATTTTCTCTGATGCATGTTGCACGAATGGTAAATTGAAGTGAATCAGGTGAGAAATCGGCTGTCAACGCTGCTGTGTTTGGAGAATATTTTGCTCCAAATATCTGCCTAATTCTCTCCACCTGTTCTGGTGTATGATAGGTTTTGACAGAGAGGTCTACTCTGTATGTTCACAGCAATTCACAATGGTCTCCTGGTACACGGATGGAATTGTGTTCTCTTGACCGCAGGTGGGTAAAAACGTGGATGGCATTAACTATATGACACGCTGCGCTCTTTCTGTGTATCATGTTCAACATGGAACAAATCAAGCCATCAGAAATCACAGTCATCTCTGAGGCATTGTTTATTCAAGACTGGTTTAAAGGCATATTATGTTATTTTGGGGGAAATCAGTGAGGGAGAGAAAAGACAGACAGCTGCTCAATTATGATGTTTCTATGCTCAGCTGCTCCAGACACACGGTTAAGAACAAGGCAGGCATTTAAAGTCAATTTGTTCAAATATATATGTAGTCTGGACTGAAACTGTATTTGTTTGGTAATCTACTGTGTGGGAAGCTCATGATTACATTTAAAGTGAGCCATTATAGATGTTTTTTCTTTCAGATCTGTTTAATATAAGCTCAGGTTGCATTTATTCAATTTGTACATTTTATTATCCATAAAAATGCCAAGCACTCATATTCAAAATGTATAATCGTTAATCAATAAGTAAAAGAATAATGTATATTATATACTTACATTATCCCTCTTATTACACTGCTACTTACTAAATAAGTAAATGCACTTGAAATACCGATTTGAGGTTCAATTATTTTATTAGACTATGGGGGAAATCTGTAGCACAGCTATGTAGGAAATCATTTTCTTTACAGTCAATTATACATGATTTAACAGCAGAATCGACCAAACTATTCCAGAAAGCTGTATAATAATACAAATAATCCATTGTCTCAAGATAGGAAGAAAATCTTGGGTTGATTCAATTTTTAAAAGTATTTTTCTGTACATCGCTCGGTTCTTTTATTTTTATCCCTCCATCACCCCACTGTGTTAATTCATTTCATTATTGCCTGCAGCTATGCCTGCTTTATCACTCTAATCAATTCAGTACATACAAAATTAATTTCTGATTAATTGATTTTAGAGTTTGCTTTGATTTGGTGTCCTTATCCACAGCATAACTATTGTGATTTAATTGCTTTAACATTCTCTTTAATTAACTCCTCTACCTTTCGGAATGTAGGCATGTCACATTTAAGTCTTAATGCAACTCATTATTATTATTAACACTAATAATTGATAATTAAATTATTAATAATATAATTTATTATTAATCCAATTTTTTAAAAATTTTATAATATAGTTTTAATTATAAATAAATAACAGTTTATGGGGAATTAGCATAACATTCAGACATTTTGGGCAGTTTTGGAATGGACTAATCCTAATTTTGCATACTATTTAGGGTAGATATTATGGGAATTGGGATGAATCCCTGGTCATTTGGTTTTATTGCAGGAGACAAAGGCATTTAATTAACGATGTGACTCTTACCGCCTTTTTTATAGAAGACCAGCTCTGTCTTAAACTCCCGCCTTTCGTCCAGTGCACCCTGGATCTGTGCCATCAGCCTATCACTGGTCTCCGGCCCATACAGGAAATGGCACGCACAGCTCTTCTGCATCAGTTCCGCACGGGCATAACCAGTGAGTTCACAGAAGCCATCAGAACAATACACGATGGGATACAGAGACTGGACCTGCGCATTCCCCAGCACAAAGTTACTGTCTGTGAGAGAAAAACAACAAAGAGAAAGAGATAAAAGTCTGCTCATAAGAAATGCAACAAAGTTTCAACACTCAGTATATTCAACAAAAGCCCAGAATAAAAGAGTTATTGACTACAGAGCAGCTATTACATTTTTTTTTTTAGATGCAATGAAACAAAAATAATATGAGTTAACAGAAATCCCTTGTGTTAGCCATATTTTCTACAGCTCTGTTATCACACTCACCCCAGACTCACTTGAGGCCTGAACAATACACACATCCTCTCAACAATGCTTTAAGGTACCTTTAAACACTTTCCACAAGCCTAATGGGAATCTGTTTTGTCTGCTGCCCTCTGACCTTTTAATACATGCCTGAATGAATGTGATAGGACTGAAGAAAGTAGCCATTTAGATACACTGACGTTGTGATGAGCTTTCAATTAATACTTATTAAAAACATTTTGGTTTGCATTCTATGTAATGTTTTGCACTGTTTATAACTGCATTAAGTGAATGTATGTTTGGTGTATTTGTACACTCTATGTTTAATATTTCTGCTATTTTCCTCTGAATATCATGTATGAAGTAAGGCTATAGTATATCAAAGTTGTATACAGTAGCCCCCCAAAATATGAATGCATTAGAAAATACCAAGCCAAGTGGCACCTGTCAACAAATGCTGCTAGACATTTTCTCAGAGCTAACTTACCTTTTAAAGCAAAACATGTCCAAATACTTGTTTTCTTCATTTAAGCAGTATATCTTTTGTTTTATCTTTTTAAACTTAAAATGTATTCTTGAGAATTTTTCATCTTTCTCTTTGATTATTATTATTATTGCAATTAATACATTTTTGGAATAATTTTAAGAGCCACTGTGTAGTTAAAAAATTATAAATCAATACTGAATTACTTTGCATAACCGTTTTTTATAACAGTTTCCTACATTGGATGAAATTCAGTTTATCAACCTTGTTCATTTTATGAGATGTACAGGCTGCAGTGTTTTAAATCAAATTAATTTAGCAATTTGCAAGATTTTTTTTTTTAAAGCAGAAAAAGGCAAGCAGAGTCAAAATAACATGATTCAGATCTGAACGTGTGAATGACGAAACAAGCACTGAATCTAAAGCCCAGCATTATTCCACACGTTTCACTTGTAAACTCCGTACAAGCTCAAACACGCATTGACTTCAGACTGCACGTATTCTGAAGCATGGCTTTTCATCATCAAAAGAGAGAAAATAATAATTAAAAATGGCACATCATGCATCACAAAGAGAATGGAATGCACTGCCTTTATTCATCAGCAGTCATTAAATCATCTCTTAGGGCTACGAAGTCATAATCATATTCTCACCAATTGAATATGTATTGCTTCGAGCTGAGGTGCAAATATTGATCCATCGGCTGGTGGGCGCCCCTCTCCCTCTCTCTCTATGTGTTTAATATTTCACAGGGGTGTGAACGGGAGCAGATTTATCCATGACAGTGGTATTTAAAATGGAGCGGTGAGGTACAGGTTCATTTTCATGCTATAATAAAGTGGATGGAGCGGGAGAGAAAAGCTACTAATCACATCCTCAAGACAACAGCACAAAGAAGTCAACAGAACAGCTTTCAAGAAAGAAGACAGGGTGTGAAGAAAGGATGGAGAGGACATGAAAAGTGATGGTAGCAAATATGTCCTACAAGGACTTTGTTTTATTTATTTATTGTTACATTTTGGCAAAGAATCGAAAAGAACAATACTTTTAAATATAATTGTTCTGTATTTGTATGTAAAAAGTAAAAAAAAATAGTTTTAAATAAAAAAATATATAAAATAGGTAAATAATAAATAAATATATGTATATAAAATAATATATTAATTATGTGTGTGTGTAGTATATGTATTTGTATTATTATTACTATTATGTATTATCACTATTAATAATAATACATAATATTAATAATAATACAAATACCTACACACGTACAAATATATACAAACAGTACATACAAGGTTGTTACAAGGACTTTTGTATTGTAATTTTGTTACAATTACTTTAAAAATCTTATCTGTATTTTATGTCCCAGTCCAACAAAAGCATTTTCCATTCAGTTCTTTAGTTCTTCAACTTCTTCAGTATTTGGTGCAGATGTTTCATTGCTTTTTTTTATATTTTTTATGTTCACATTTACTTATTTATTTGGTGGGTAGCAGTCACTGACTATCAATACAAACAAAGGTGGAAATCAGTCGGCCTGGTATCACAGTAGATAAACTACATTTAAAATATTGAAATGTGTCTATTCGTTATGTGTTGTGTACATGAGCAGTGTTACGTATGCATTGTTGTAGTCAGTATATGTGATTGACTCATGTTTTCTCTGCTTTTCTCAGCTAAAGACCCTTATTTCCTACCTGGCTGCAACTTCCTGTTTATTCTCGTTACTCTGTAATGAATGATGCGAATCCCACTAACAACCACTTCCATATGAGTCTTAATAAATGTACCTGCCGTTGCTGTGATGAAACATTACCAATGTAAAATACAAGATGAGGGTGATTAATGCAGGTCCCCTCAGATGGACAAAACACTCTCACCTAGAGTGGTCTGCAAATCTCTCTGCAATTGAATAGAGAGATATATGACACAACAGATGGGGAAAATAAACAATAGACATCTTGTTTACGAGACAATCTGAAGATGTTGTTTACTTTTATTGTCAAATTTTAGATTTGAATGTTGCCAGAGATTATGTCACCATGGAACTTGACTAAACTGCATTAATCCATTACACATATCCCTCTTTTTTCTCTTGCTGACACATTAATCAAGTAATAGAAGAGAGGCTGGAATTAATGTTTTGACAATACATCTGATCGGTTTACTGTGTCTGTCTTTTTCCTCTTTCTTATTTTCTTTCCTACATATGTTTTTAATGAGATAACTTGACGCTGTACCACTAATCTGAACTATGAATTGGATACAACTTTTTCAATTATCTAATGCTTCAAACACTGCACTAATGGTTGTAAAGCTCTAATGCGTGTTCTTTTATGGCTAGACAAGATATTTTACCAAAGTTTATTGTTTAATGAGTTTGCTTTACAAATTACAAAAATATAAAGGGATTCATAATGTATAATAGTTCACTTGTTTTTATGGTTTAATCAGCTCAGTCAAAGTGCCTCAAGCAACAGAAAGAAAATCACATGTGAGATCTCTGTAATATGTCATTTGTTTCCTCTTTTTGAGATTATGTGGAGTGCAAATGGAGATTTTCCCTGAAGTCTCCTGATATATTTGCTATGATAGTCCAAAATTTGAGATTTCAACACAAACTCAAATACTTCATGTCAATAGGCCAATCATTTTAAACAAATACAGTTTTATGCATTTATTTTATGATATATTTTGTATGCCTATTTTCCAGCATAGGTTTAGCTCAGTTAACTATATAAAAACAAATATATTTAACACTTTTTCTGATGTAAGCAGGCCCCTAAGTGCTAATATTTTTCTGTATTTTTTCAGTCTTGTTTCTCATTTTTCTCTTGTTTGCCATAAACAACGGAATAAAAGTTAAGCTGACAATGTAACATGTTAATTGCTCTTACAGAAGCATTAGCATAACAGCTAGCAGATACTGCTGCTTGCTCTGTATGGTTTCACATAGACTAATTTTAATGATTATTTATCTCCGCTACCCTGCCTGTGGCTTTTTCTCCCTCATAGACTATTAATTTTACAAAATACATTTAATTCCCCTTGAATTTTAGATGAAATGCTTTACTTTGTCAACACATCTCAAAAGCTAGCCTACTGTGTATACAACTGGAGGCTTGGCCTGGGGGCTATGCTTAGGCAACTTTTAAAAAAAATTTTTATTTCAGGTAATAACAAGATTATATAAATTTTCACTTTTGAATAGCCAACTAGACTGGGGAGTCCCCGACCCTAACATGATGAAAGTTGCATTAATCTGTATGACAGGTTGCAAAAACCTGTAACAAGTAAAATGGGCAAGAATTTCAGAGCATGTAACTGAACTGCTTCTTCACGAGATGTGTTAATTTATGCATTTGACAGACAATTTTACATAAAGTGACTTACAGTGCATTCAAGGTTAACATTTTGCCAGTATGTGTGTTATGTGTGCACATATTCTTCAGTAATGAGCTCCTGTAACATGCATGGCTCTAGAAACATACAAACAAGTCTTGGGTTCAGTTCCCTGGGAATGCAGTGGATAAAGTGTGTTTCTTGAATTGTTTTGAATAAACGTGTCTGCTAAATTCATAGAAATATAAAAATATAGTTTGTGATTGTAATTGTCTGATAGTTAAGTGTCACCAAGTCACCATGCTTTCATTAAGCTAGTATGAAGCCTCAATTCATGATCTGAGGGGAGGAGTGATTGAGGAAGTCTTTAAAACCTAAAATTGTGCACTATTGCAATGCTTTTATAGTGAGCTTCATAAAAAGAACTGTTATGGAAGTCATGTATACTCAAGTTAAGATCATTCTTGTGCATTTATAAAAAGCAGTAATGTACCAAATTAGGATTTACCAATAACTTGTTTTATTTATGTCAAACTGATGATACAGGAATGTTAGGGACTATTTTGTCTTTCTTGGTCACTCGAAATAATGTAGTGCTTGAGCAGATTTAATTTTTTTATACTTTGAATGAGAATGAATTAGTATTTAAGATATACAGGTGCATCTCAATAAATTAGAATGTCATGGAAAAGTTCATTTATGTCAGTAATTCAACTCAAATTGTGAAACTCGTGTATTAAATATTCTATGCACACAGACTGAAGTAGTTTGAGTCTTTGGTTCTTTTAATTGTGATGATTTTGGCTCACATTTAACAAAAACCCACCAATTCACTATCTCAACAAATTAGAATACTTCATAAGACCAATAAAAAAAACATTTTTAGTGAATTGTTGGCCTTCTGGAAAGTATGTTAATTTACTGTACATGTACTCAATACTTGGTAGGGGCTCCTTTTGCTTTAAT